ATAATGGATATTCAAGAGTGTATATGTTGTAATGAGCACTGTGTATTATATAAGACTGATGAATCACAGACATGTACCCATGAAACAAGTAATACATTATATGTTAATTAATTGAATTTAAGTTTAAAAAATTTAAAAAATAAAATGTCCCTGTTGAAACACTTTAGGTGACTTTTGTTATCCATATGGAAACTGAGTGATTGAATCTGATTTAAAAATGGGCAGAAGATCTGAATAAACATTTCTCCAAAGAAGATGGCCAACATGTATATGAAAAGATTCTCAGCATAATTAATCATCAGGGAAATGCAAATCAAAACCACAATGAGACATCACCTCACACTTGTTAGAATGGCCATTATTAAAAAAAAAAAAAAAAAAAGCAGCAGCAGCAGCACTGGCAAAGATGTGGAGACATTGAAATCCTTGAGCACTGTTGTAATGTAAATGTATGTAATATAATACATAGGAAAAGGAAAATGGTGCACCCACTATTGAAAATAGTATGGACCTTCTTAAAAAAATTAAAAATTAATTTTTAAATATAATACAGCAATTCCTTTTCTGGATGTTTATCCAAAAGTATTGAAATCACTATCTCAAAGAGGTATCTGTATTCCCATGTTCATTGTAGGATTATTCACAATAAACCAGATGTGGAAGAAACCTAAATGTCTATTGATAGATGAACGGATAAAGAAAATGTGGTATATGAATATTATTCAGCATTAAAAAAGACAGAAATCCTGTCATATAGTACAACATGGAAGAAACTTAAGGACATTATGCTAAGTGAAATAAGTCAGACATAGAAGGGAAAATACTGCATGATTCCACTTACAATGAGACATCTAAAGTAATCAAACTCAATGAAATAAAAGGCAGAGTGGTAGATGCCAGAGGCTGGAAGGATAGGTCGATGGGATTTGCTGTTCAAGAAGTATAATATTTTGCTTATACAAGATGAACAAATTCTAGAGATCTGTTGTACAACATTGTGCTTCTAGTTAATAACACTGTACTGTATACTTAAAATTTTGTTAAGAAGGTAGATCTCATGTGTTGTTTTCAAATTACCACAAAAAAAAAAAAAGAAAAGAAAATCCAAGGGTAGCTTCCATGCTATAGCAGATAGCAATGTTAAATATACTTTTGACAAACTCCAAAAAGAGAATCCTAAGATTTTGAAACAAAACTATGACCTATTTTCTTGGTATCTCTCATCCACAGAAAAAACAGCCCCTGGCTTGTTAATTGAGCCCTGGCTGAGACTGAATACCTAACCATAGGCACCAAATAACCATGCTACTTGTGATGGTCTATGCTGTGGTAACAACAAAATATGACAGAACATTAGCAGCAACATTCTACAATTAAACAGATATAATATAGTGAGAATAGGTCAGAGCAATTCCAGAAATACACATAAATTGTCTCTGCAGGTGGCTTAGACTTCCATGTAACCTACCAGTATTTTTAAATAAACCTGTCAATCCCCACTTTCAGACTCACAAGAGGATTCCAAAATGAAAATAGGGAAAACATTCTCATACATCCCAATTTATGTGTGAGTACACATATTCTCACAGCAGCAGAAAGTAGCCATTGTTACAGCTCCCCTCAAGGTGGTCTCTGAATGTTAGTGGTGGAACATAATCTTTACAATCGGTAGAATATCAATATGTTTCCATTTTTATGGAGAAAAAGGGTGGTCTACTTTACAGATCTATAGATTCATAGGCAAAGACTAATGGATTGACTGGTTTGTCAAAGATTTGGAAATAATTAGAGGGAAGTTTAAATGTAAGAAGGTTTGATGTAGAAGTAGGTGAATAAACCTTTTGGAGGTTGCATAGATTATGAATATATTCATATTCTTTGGAAATTCCCTCCAGAATCCATGTGCTACAGACAAACTGTCTCAATAATAATGTGACTTGGGGGTGCTTGGGTGGCTCAGTCAGTTAAGCATCTGCCTTAGGCTTGGGTCATGGTGTCAGGGTCCTGTGGTAGAGCCCTGTTTCAGGCTTCCTGCTCAGTGGGGAGTCTGCTTCTCCCTCTACTTCTCTCTCTACCATCCTTGTACACTCTCTTTCAAATAAATAAACACAATCTCTTTAAAAAAAAATAATAATAAGATGGTTTGGATAAGCAGTCCTGCAAATGTTGGTCTTTTTCCAGACCCTTCAGAATTTGATCTTAAAGCTCAAGCACAAAGGAGTAGTGGAGACTGGGGTGGAAACTACATATGAATACACGGCACGGACTTCACCTCACCAGAGCTCTTTTGGTTACTCCACCTTAATTTGTTAATAACAGGGATCACCCCCACTTCCTTCCCAATATAGTAAACTCCCAAGGGTTCTAGCTAGCCAAAAAGTAGAAAAATTGTTTTGGTTACCTTCCATCCTAGATGACACACCATTTTTTTCTTCATAGAAGTAGTTAGAATTTCCAAATAACAGATTTCCCTCTCACCTTCTCTGCAGTATTTTTGCCAGATCACAAACTGTGCACATGAAACCTTAGTAAAAATGTTGGTGTTGATATTAACATTGTGCATGACCAGGGAACATATTTACAATGAAGGAAATGCAACAGTCTAATATTCATAGAATTTGCTGATTTTTACCAAATTCCCCCTTAGCTAATGAGAGCTTTTCAGGGTTTTAGCTGGAAGACAATATCCTATATATTTTAGGTCTTGTATTAAAGGATGCAGTGTATGCTTCAAATCATTAACCTAATATATAGGCCTTTTGTATTTTATTTTGAATACATGGGTTCAGATCTCAAGGGGTTGAAAGTGGGAAAGAGTCCCTTAACAAGTATGCCTCACTGTTTCCCTTAGACAAGTTTGTTTTCCATTATTACAACCTGGAGACAGGTGGTTTGGAAGTTGCATTTCCAAGGGAGGAATGATTCCCCCCAGGGACAGATCCATGATTTACTTAGATTACTAACTGTGAATTATTTTGAGCTTGATTATTTTAAGTTCCTCTGCTTCAGAATTCAGTCAAAGAAGGATTTACTCTCTTGTCTGTGGTCACGGGTTCAAAATACCAAAGATAAATTTGGCTGCTGACATTAATTTGGAGTGCTTGAAGTTTTGGATCATTCTGTCAGGTAAAGAATCCTAACCAGAGGAGATGCTGCCAGAAGATAAGGGGAACAAGGAATGTTTATGAACAAAATAAGTAAAAGTATTAAGTGCAGCCTCCTGAATAGCTCCAAGACCTGAGAATGTGAGAGCTATGTAACAGTCCTCCGGTTTATGAGACTTGGTTTCTGCTTATTAAGGATGAGAGTTTCTTCATCTGAACAGTTTTGCAAATGACTGCTAATGAAAGTCCATTCTCACTGTGTATATATATATGTGTATATTATTTTTATTTATTTCTTTGCTTATTATCCAAATATATGCTGCAGTTAGACTGACTAATGCAGTTGGTATCACCCAGGAATTTTTGCCAGCTGCCTTCTGGTGTTATTCAGGCAAAGGAAGAAAACTGTAGATAATCAGCAGGAGGGAAGAAAGCAGGTGAGCAGGGACTATATCTGTGCAGAAACAAATCTCTGTGTTGTGGGTAGCCAGTCTCAGAAACCAAATGGGTGCATGAACTTGGGTGGTGCTCAACACCATGAATGGCTAGTCCTCCTCTCACTGGATCTTAAGCCTTTTGCTGTGTTCCAGTACAAAATATACTAGGGGGGCACATTGGTGGCTCAGTGGGTTAAAGCCTCTGCCTTCGGCTCAGGTCATGATCCCAGGATCCTGGGATGGAGCCCTGCATCAGGCTCTCTGCTCCACAGGGAGCCTGCTTCCTCCTCTCTCTCTCTCTGCCTGCCTCTCTGCCTGCTTGTGATCTCTGTCTGTCAAATAAGTAAATAAAATCTTAAAAAAAAAAAGAAAATATACTAGGGATAAAGCAAAGATAAACAACTCTTCTAAGGACATAATCAAATCGTAAAAGTCAAAACACATCAACATGAATCACCTTTTAAAAATGTTAACATTTAACAAATACATTTTTAACCTTCACAAAAAAATTTAAGAATTTATTTGCATTTTTGGTAATGTACATATTCAAAAACAAATACATATTCCTATATGTCATGCAGTTATTTTTAAATTGAAAGTAATTTTCAATATGCCATACTAACATGAATATGAATTTCAAAATTTTCTGTAGGCCAATAGATGTCATTTATCACCTCAATTATACAAGAAATACTGAAATTAAAACTTCTATTACAATATGTCATTAAGTTTATAAGGGGTAAAGTAAGCACAGCCTTCATTTGTTAAATTAATGCAGAGCTGATTTAAATATGAATTTTAATTAGTGTTTTCCGTGATAAATATTTAGTAAAGCATGCCATTAGTCAAGCAAATCTGCTAATATCTTACATCCTTGGCATAATATTTAATTGATAAATTTAAATTTGTAAATGATACAGACTGAAAAATAATACAATGATCTTATATTCCAAGTAATTATTTGTTTTTGTTAGAAAACTAAATCTTTGATTATAAAGAGTGATTATAGATTATAGACATTAGTGATTTTTCAATATAATAAATTGACATTTCACTTTAATGTTATCAATGTTAATTAAAAATTTCATGTAATTTTTTCCTTATTTCTTAATTATTTCCTCTATAAATGATCTGATCACCTTTAAGATATTGCTGACATTCTCTGTCCCTGAGAAAAAATAATACTCAATTAATCTCTTTTGTTTGAGGGCAGTCCCCAGACCCTTGCATTAAAAGACACACAAGAGTGTTAGTTGATTGCAGGCAGGTACACAGGCCATAATTATTTATGTACTGAATGGAATTTGTAGACCTTCCCTACTTTGATGCACTATAACAGTTATTATCAATTTAGGCTCTAACCCCAATAACTTTGGACAAGCAGAAGGGCTTGTTTTCTATGAAAAAAGAAATAATCACTCTTCTTATAGCATACTAATCTTCTACGGTGGTTCCTTGATTTGTATATTCTTGAGGAAGTTGTGAATTTTATTCTTCTATATTCCCTACATCCATCACATTCAACTAACATTTCGTGCACTCCTCAGGATTCAGCATATTGTTAGTCAGCATATTCTTAAGGTTAAGCATAAAGAAATAGAAGATTCATGAAATCATTAGTGTCCCTGTGTCAGAAAAATAAGAGGGTATAGGCATCTGGAAAAGACAAAGGAACACTGGGACATGTTCACTAGTTGATGATTGTGCTGAATTCTAGGCTTTATCTCTAGGCTAAGGTAGAGGAATGGGAATTTTGAAAATGGGATGGAGATAATCTGTTTTCATTAAGGTCACTGTGGCTAGAATGAACAGGATTGCCCATCAAGGCCTTTGCCACACTTAGAAAGATCTATTCCCTCTTTTTCTTCTTTCCTGTTTTACCAAATTTTCGATAAGAAAATAAAAAACATTTTGTGACCAAGAAGATAGCAGTTGCCACACAGGCCAATAGGAACCCTATCACATCCAAAGAGTGGTACTGGAACCAGGTGAGGTTGTGAGCCGCTGGCCGCAGGTGCTTGGCTCCTTTGTGGCGCATGACAAACTCAATCCAGAAGACTGCTCGATCCAGGGGCTTTACAGGTTGATCATGGTGAATTCTTGATAACCTTGTTGCATTCTCTTTATAACTGGTAGGCAAAAATAGAGAAATTAGAGAGTTTTTGTTTTCATTATGGGTAACACCTGATACATGTTATATGTTATATAAGCCAAAGACCATAGATAATAATTGAGAAAAAATTCACTCTTGCTGAGACATGAAATTTGTTGGTTGCATAGCATCTTAAGAATTGTGAAAGGAGGATGTAGAAGAAATACATTCTTAACTGAATGTGGTGAAATGCAGACATAAAAAATGAAACGGGTGTGTTGCACATGTATGGTGTAATTTTTCCAAGGAGAACTTTTGATATTGTGTGTAGTTTCCAGGATCGTTCCAAAATCAAGACTGAATAACCCAATATTGTACAGAAATATCCATAGGAATTTCCATAAACATGGTTTTTAAGCTCTGGCTACTTCATGATGACAGACAAGAAGCTGATAATTGACATTAGTAAACCATTTCTGCAGGGTCTAATATCTTGGCACTGTGATAATTCCCCCATTGCACATATTGTGTCTTTGTAATCCAAAGGACAGTGTCTATATTGGTAATATCAAGATTGGTAAAGATACTAGGGTAATTTTGGAAATGGCAAGGATATGGAACTTTGAATTTTTAAGATGAGTAGAAATATTTTACTAGAATTAGAGTCCCCAGTCAATGAGGCATCAAAGTAGCAGTGGTTGTATGGAGTTAATTCTAATCTCTCAAACAATAATGGTTATGGTATGTTTTGAAAGGCAGGTTTTATCTTCACTTGACATTTCCTAGTTAATGAGCCAGAATTAGTGTATTTCCTTTTGGTTTTGTTATAAATAAGCCTTCCAGCTTGGGGACATGAAGATGATGGAATGTAAGTGATTTGTGAAGAGATGTCCTGGTGTGAGTTAGCCATTTTTGGGACTGGAGAAGAAGTGTGGTCATCATTCACCAGTGAACATGGTATGCTAGATCCAGTAGGAGGGACTAATTTATTTGTGTTCTTTTATGCATACAGTGAGGAATAATAGTCATACTCTTTTAATTGGATTGAAATATAGGTAGGGTTAAAGCAGTAATTTCACCTGATTCACCCTAAAACATTCCAGGCAAACTATAGTAGCAGTAAAAGCCTGTCTTTCCAAATCATATTTTTGTTCAAGTTTTTCTCCTTTTATAGTTAGAGATTTAAAATCTGAAATACATATATATTAGCTAGATAAACTTTTATTTGTGAATCTAAATAAAAATAAAGTATGCTTTCCTATAAATAAGAAAGGCCTATGCTTATATTTAAAATGACTATTTAACATTTTATTGTACACTAATGTTATATGCCTTTTATCTTAAAATATTATAAGTAATTAAAATTACTATGGTTTATGTTTTTAAGTGTAATCTTTTATGTTTCTGAATTCCATTAAGGAGTAATAAATGGAACACACTCTATACTAAACTCTATTGTTCCCAGATGATTTCTGAGTTAGAATTAGTTTTACAGTTAATGTTAAGATTTTTTTTAAGATTTTATTTATTTATTTGTCAGAGAGAGAGAGCGAGCGAGCACAGGCAGACAGAGTGGCAGCCAGAGGCAGAGGGAGAAGCAGGCTCCCTGCTGAGCAAGGAGCCCGATGTGGACTCGATCCCAGGACGCTGGGATCATGACCTGAGCTGAAGGCAGCCGCTTAACCAACTGAGCCACCCAGGTGTCCCAAGATTTTTTAAAATAAATAATTTTAGGTATTTTCTTGGAAAATCCTAAGAGTCTTTATGGTTCTGTCTTTTGCATCAATAGTTTTCAAATCAACAATAAAATTTAATGGCATACCATGAAATAAGGTAGAGTTCTGAAAAATTACAGAACTTAATCTTATTTAGTAAAATGAACCAAATTATCAGCAGTAACAACCCAACAATAGTCTAATGCATTAGCTATCAAGATCATCATTTACGAGAAACAGAAAATCATAGTCAGCCTAATTGAAGCTCTTAACACTAGTTCCAGCTCCTGAAATAATGGTATCTATAATATTTTGAAAATTATGACTTAAACATTCATTTTTTTAAGATATTTATTTATTTGACACAGAGAGATATTTATTTATTTGACAAGTAGGCAGAGAGGCAGGCAGAGAGAGAGGAAGGGAAGCAGGCTCCCTGCTGAGCAGAGAGCCAGATGTGGGCCTCCATCCCAGCCCCCTGGGATCATGACCTGAGCTGAAGGAAGAGGCTTTAACCCACTGAGCCACACAGGTGCCCCTTAAACATTCATCTTAATAAAAGTCACTTGATTGGAATGTGTGTGAGAGGCAGCAACAGACTACTAGCATTGAATTTTTAGTTTGGAATCAAGGCAAAGATTCCCTTTTGGAGAGCAATACATTGACCCTTTTGTCTAAAATACTCTGCAAGTAGGGCTTAGAATAGATGGTTTTACATAGATTAGTTTCACCAAAAAAAGCTACACAAATTGCATTTGAGTTGACCTTCTTATCTACCTCCTGAATTTCAGCATTAGGCCATACAAATGGGATGTTTGAACCTCTCAATGAAAATAATTGAGTCTGAGATAACGTGGAAACAAATTTAAATATAAGGCACTTATACACATTCGGAGTAAATACTGGGAAATCTAGATGAAAAATATGCCTTGATAACATATGATATTAGGAAAGAACCATAAAAATGTTTGGCTTAGAATGTAATTAGGCATAATACATAGTTCAAAAAAGAGGAGAGTTGAAGTAAAATAACAATGCAGGGGTTTGGGGTGCCTGGGTGACTCAGTGGGTTAAAGCCTCTGCCTTCAGCTCAGGTCATGATCCCAGGGTCCTGGGATCCAGCCCCACATCTTAGGATCCAGCTCCCCGTAGGGCTCCCTGCTCAGCAGGGAGTCTGCTTCCTCCTCTCTCTCTGCCAGCCTCTCTGCCTACTTGTGATCTCTGTCTGTCAAATAAATAAATAAAATCTTTAAAAAAAAGAATGCAGGGGTTATGAATAAAAGATTTAAAAATTAGGTTATAAAACAAAAACTGATGATAAAGGGTACAGGTGAGCTGTTGAAATAAATTGACAAAAATACCTCTTAAAGGATTAATAATAAAATTAGAAATTGTAATTTTCTAATGTCAAAGAATAAATTTACTAATTAATGGATTGAGGAAATTCCAGCGAATTAAGAAAAGTAGAAAATGATTAGGACACTTAGAAAATGATAGAGAACAAGAACCAAAATATTTTAACATATAGAATGCTGAAATTTGGTGTCTCTGAAATAGACATAAAAAGTGAAACCAACAAACATTTTGATAAATAACAAAAAAATTTTCTGAGAAGAAAAATAATTTTTATTCCAAATTAACAGTATTGAAAAAACATACTATAACCCAAGGGAAATATAGAAAATAACTTATCAATATACATCATTAATTAGGTTTCTACACTTTAAAAAAAAATTATTTTTTCCAGACTGAAAAAAAAACAAACATAAATGATCAGACAGGCTTCAAATTCCTATAGAAGGATTTAAAGCCAGAAGACCATGAGTCATATTTACACAATTCTGAAGAAAAGAGAGCTAAATATCTTAGATTCAGAGAGGTGAGATATCTTCCTTTTCATTTTTTTAAGATTTTATTTATTTATTTGACAGAGAGAGAGCGAACAAAAGCAGGGAGAGCAGCAGGCAGAGGGAGACTGGAGAAGCAGGCTCATGGAGCAGGGAGCCCAACACAGGGCTTGGTCCTGAGCTAAAGGCAGATGCTTAATGACTGAGCCACCTAGGTGCCCCGAGATATCATTCTTATATTAAGGCAATCAGAAAATATTGTTAAACTTGATCTCAGGAAATTTGATATCCATGAGTCTTTATTGAAAGGAAATTTCATATAATATATTCAGTTAAGAATGATTCTAAAATATTTTAGAATAAAGAATCTCAGAATTAATGGCAAATGTCGATTCCTTTAAGATAAAGCAAAAAGGCTAAATTTGAGGAAAATAAGCAGCTAAATATTGACAAATTAAAATCTTAAGTAGTACATATTAGAGATGAGATTATTTCTATTTTTTGGAAATGAGATTATTTCTATGGCAGTTCAACTGTTGCTAAAATCAAAAATGCATAAAAATGAAAACTTAAAACTGGATTCATGTATTAATTATTAATCTTAATGAGATTTTTCAGAGAAAAAAAAAGATATAATGATATGTACCTAACGTTAAATATAGTTTATAGATTCATTTCAATTAATCTTTAACTAAGACAAAATTCAAAATTTTGTTTAAGAATTCATACATAGTAATAACCAGTATTTATAAAGTTATTACCTACTCAGTATCTCTCCTCCCTCTGTATATGCATATAGTGATGAATGATATATAGCCAATGCTAATGATGGCCATTTTTGAATGATAAATGAATTATCATTATCAAAGTGAATTGTCACTTCCAATTTTGTACTTACTGAATGGTTATAATATTTAAATAGGTATATATATTTGTGTCTATATGAATAAGCAGATTGTTCAAAAAATGTCTAAGAATTTATGTGATCATTAAAATGATTGATTTTGAAAAAAAAGGGTTGATAAAATATTTGAAGTAATAGTATTTTTTCCCCAATTTCAGCAAATTACTTCAATGTTTGGAAAATGAAATAATAAAGTGGTTTTCATATTGGTCATGTTATAGTTGTTACTTGAAATTAAATCTGTTAACAAAATCATGAGACATTGAACACTTCCAAGTATGATGGGTAGCATAATCAATGGTAAGGCTTTAAAAACAGTAATACTTACGAAGGTTCATTAATGACTGTTCTCAAGGCATTGAGCAGATCTTCACTGGTCATTGTGTTTATGTCCACCTCCACAGCCGCTCCTTTGGCCTTCATGTGAGCGATGTTATCAGGTTGATCAGCAAACATAGGAAGTCCCACCATAGGAATCCCATGGTAAATAGCTTCATAGATCCCATTGGTTCCACCGTGAGTGATAAAAGCTTTTGTTTTGGGATGACCTAGTTTAGGAATTGGGTGAGGATTTCATTATAATAAGGTAACAGAATTTTAGGGAGAGATAGGGGGAAATTACAGATTAACTCAACAAAGAAAGCATTTTCTTCTGAGAGCACATGGACTCTTGGCTATCTCAGAAAACTATGACCCCAGGAAAGTAGGGAGGAATTAGCTTCCTCTGCCTTGTCTGGAAGAACTTTACTGAGGAGGAAATATCTGAACTGAGACTGAAACTTGAAGAGTAATGAGGGTCTTAACTGAAATGCTCTTTTGTGAATCAAAGAAAGCATTGAGTCTATAAAATTAACTGTCAATTCTCAAATTATTTCTGCTTTAAAACTGCAAGTAAAATGTGATATTTTAATTTTTTCTAGCTTTATTTATTTATTTTTTAATTTTATTTTAAATTCCAGTATAGTTAACATACAGTGTTATATTAGTTTCAGGCGTACACTATAGTGATTCAACACTTCCACACATCACCCAGTGCTCATCACAAGTGCACTTCTTAATCCCCATTGCCTATTTTATCCATCCCCCCACGCACATCCCCTCTGATGACCATCATTTTGTTCTCTAAAGTTAAGAGTATGTTTCCTGATTTATCTTTCTCTCTTTTATTTTTCTTTTGCTCTGTCTTTTGTTGTTATTCCTTAAATTCATATTAGTGAAATCATGTAGTATTTATCTTTCTGACTTATTTCTCTTACCATTATACTCTAGCTTCATACATTTCCTTGCATATGCAAAATTTTGATGGCTGAATAATATTATTTACATATACAGATCAATCAATAGATTTATATATCTATTATCTATCTATCTATCCATCTATCTAATCTATCATCTATCTATCTATATCACCTCTTTATTCATTCATCAGTCAATGGACATGAGCTGTTTCCGTATCTTGGCTATTGCAAATAATGCTGCTATTATATAGGGGTGCCTATATACCTTTGAATTAGTGTTTTTGTATTCTTTGGATAAATACCCAGCAGTGTGATTACTGGATTGTGGGGTAGTTCTTTTTTTTTTTTTTTTTAACTTTTTGAGGAAACTCCATACTGTTTTCCACAGTGGTTGCACCAGTTTTCATTCCCACCAACAATGCAAGAGAGTTCTTTTTTTCATATCCTCTACAACATTTGTTGTTTTTTGTGTTTTTAATTTTAACTTAAAATGTGACATTTTAAACTATTAAATATTTATTGAATTATTTGCTGTTGAACAGTTGCTTTACTTGTCCATTATCCAAAAGTACAGTTTTCTTTCCCTCAGTCTTACCAAGAAGATCATTTTGGGGTATCCAATCATAGAGACGAGTGTTGTGTCCTAATGTGGCTGGTTTCTTTCCTTTGTATCTCCATAAAACCTGTCAAAGACAGTGCTTTAATTTTGCAAGTAAAAACACATAGTGAGGTCATCTTAATGCTGTAGAGTTTATAAATCATGTGGCCTGCTACTACTTTATGTGATAGTGAGAGAAATGGACATAAGGGTTAGTTTGCAAACACGGAGATATAGTAGGTCTGTTTATATCAACCCTGTCAAAAAGGGTTTGAACTAATCTATTATGTATAGTTTTATCATTTTTATATTTATCACTTACAAGTTTTGAGGTATGAGATTATAAGTGAAGGTATATAAAATAGAAAGACTAGTTTCATCAATCAGAGCATGGGGGTTTAAAAGGCATTAAAATAAACATGAATATTGTGTGAATTTACTAATGTCATAAGGCTATCCTAACTTTCATGTTTCAATTATAATGCTTTCCAAAACTATAATTAGTTTTAAATTTTTGTTGTCTGGTTGTTGAATGATTGTCTTTCCTTCTTTCTTTCCTCTCTCCTTCCCTCTACTTCCCTCTCCTTCCTCCCTCCCTTCCCCCCTTCCTTCCTACCTCTTTCTTTCTCTAGCACTTTCTATAGTTTTCGAGGGAGGAAATAAATTTGCTTTATTTCATTTTTTAATGAAGTATCATGTTAGGATGTTAGCCTTTTGTTATATACTTTTTGCAGGTGGGGGGACCTCTGTAATACTAAGTTCAGATTAAATATTAATAGATGGCAAACTTATTTTTAAGTGTTTATTTTATTCAACAATTCCATACCTCACCCACTGATCATCATGACAATGCACTCCTTAATCCCCATCACCTGTTTAACCCTTCCCCCCACCCACCTCGCCTCTAATAACCATCATTTTGTTCTCTATAATTGAGTATGTTTCTTGTTTTTTTTTTTCTCTCTTTTTCCCTAGTGCTCATTTGTTTTGTTTCTTAAATTCTACATATGAGTGAAATCATATGGAATCCGTCTTTCTTTGACTTATTTTGCTTAGCATTATACTCTTTAGCTCCATTCATGTCTTGGCAAATGGCAAGATTTCATTCTTTTTTATGGTTGAAAAAATATTCTATTGTGTATATTTACCACACCTTTTTTTTTTCAAATTTTTATTTACATTTTCATTAGTTAACATATAGTGTAGTGTAATATTGGTTTCAGTAGAATTTAGTGGTTCATCACTTACATAATACCATATCTTCTTTATCCATTCATCTGTCCATGGATAAATATAATGTTTCCATAATTTGGCTATTGTAAAGCTGCTATCAACATTGGGGTGCATGTTTCCCTTTGCATTAGTATTTTTGCATCCTTTGGGTAAATACCCAGTAGCACAATTACTGAATCATAGAGTAGTTCTGTTTTTAACTTTTTGAGGAATCTCTGTACTCTTTTCCACAGGGGCTGCACCAGTTTGCATTCCCAACAGTGCAAGAGAGTTCCCTTTTCTCCATATTCTCAGGTGGCAAACTTTAAAAAAAAAAAAAGTTTAGAAATGAAAATTCAAAGGTTTAACAGACCTAATTAGTATGCTTATCTTTATGGAGTTTTATATATTTGAACTAATATACCAACATGAAAAGTTCTGGAGTATTCCATAAATAGGTGTATATAAAGAGTAGAAATCTAGAACTATAATGACAGCAAAGTTAAAGTAAATTGAATATCATAAATCAGAAAATATATATTATTTGATAATAATAATATTAGGATTTTTAACTGTTTTTAACTGTAGAAATTCCAATTTAGAAAGTCTAGGCTTCTACTTCTAAATCAACTAGATCTTGATATATTGGCAATAAAACTTAAAAATAGAAAATATACCCTTGAACATAATTCCTATCTACTCTGTGTATAACATCTCTCTTTTCCTGGACCTTGGAGCTAACACACTTGAGAATTTGGGGGAGTACTCAATGCAGGTCATAAGATTTCAAATAGCAAAAAGTTATCGGGATCCTAACATTTTCATCTATATTTCACTGAAAATAAATGATCATATAAGGAGATGTATTTCCATAATAATGCAAAGGCTTACTAAGCAAATGATTACATGTGCCTCAATAGACCATTTTAATGTTTTAAGGAATTTGTATTTGAAGGTGGTACCAGTTATGCTCAGTGCTTCAGCTCTGATCTAGAAAAAGTACTGTTAGTCACATTTTCACTCCAATTGGCAAAGCAGCTATTCACCAGGACCCAAAGTTGTACTGACCTTCTGTGGAATCTGGGCAAGGGCTGAGGCAATGAGATTGGCTTTTTCATCTGTGAGGTTTTTGACCATTGATCCCAGAGAAAACACCACAACACCATCTTCACCTGAACTTTGGACAAATTCTTCCATTTCCTACAACGATAAAATTCTCTTTATCACAAACATGTAGGATCACGGCGGGGGCGGGGGAGAGTTCACCTATTCTTCTAAATAGCAGAGTCAAGAGAAGTGTCAGAAATGTAAGACTGGTTCTGTTTTCTGCCACAGAGAACCATCTAGTATCTTTAAGAGGAAATATGTTTCTGGAAAACTGTGGCTTAAATATATAATAAGCGATCACAAATAAAGGCATAGAGACAAACCATTATACAAAGTGAATAAGCAATAAGAGACAGCTCTTCTCATGGTTCATGGAAATCTTGCCCTCAAGGCTTAATTTTATGAACCACAGAGATGTTTGCAAACTCAAAAATATTCCTTGTAAGGAAGCCCAAAAAAGGGTCCTAACTAGGCTTTTAAAATGTGTATCATGTCAGTTTATAGCCAATAAATTATGAATAAATCAATCTAACTCCCTGTTAGGCATTCAGGATATTTTTCTCGTGTTTATTCTTTCCTGATTAATGAGGCTAAAAATGATTTTTTTTTAAAGATCTTATTTATTTATTTGACAGACAGAGATCACAAGTAGGCAGAGAGGCAGGCAGAGAGAGAGGAGGAAGCAGGCTCCCTGCAGAGCAGAGAGCCCGATGCGGGGCTCAATCCCAGGACCCTAGGATCATGACCTTAGCCGAAGGCAGAGGCTTTAACCCACTGAGCCACCCAGGTGCCCCCTAAAAATGATTTTTTTAAAGAATTGAGATATATAGTAATACATGTTAAAAGTAAACTTCTATTTTTTAAATCATGATAACATTTATGAAACAGTGCTTCTCTACCTTCCCACAAGTAGCTGAAGCACCTTAATTTGAAACTTCTCTACAAATAAACTTCTCTACAAATAAAATCCCCTGGGTCTCCAGTTATAGTTGTGCAAGTTGGGCACTGCAAAGTCTGGTCTGAGGTCTTTTGCATTCTCATTTATGTGAATATCAACTTCTAGAGATGTGTCATGCATTTCCTATGCAATTATTTGTGGCTTCCCTGCAATATTTCTCAATATATTTATTCATTTCTCAATTATATTTATTTATTTATCAATGTATTTCTCAATTTAAGGCTAATAAAATTACTAGGAGAAGGATGATGTCATAAATAAAAGCTGACTGCTCTTTTAGTTTAGATAATGTTAGGAGACTATCTTTGAAGTCCCAGGAACTGGTATTTTACCATTTTGATTCCTCTCCCTAAGAGAGTGATTTAATAAACACACACACACACACACACACACACACACACACACACGTACGTATATGAAGACTTACACATCTAAAAGTTGGATCCTTGTTTTGGATGTCTTTCATTGCTTTTTTTTCTGTGTGTGCAGTGACTGGCATAATTTTTTCATCAGAGGGATAAGCTGTGATTGATGTTCATATTGCCCAAATGTTTGTATTAGTAACAGGGTTTGGAATGGAATAATTTCCCCCTCTTGTAAAACATGTTTGAATTGTTTTGTGAAATTGTGTAGATGAAAAGTGAAGATGGGAAGATGAATATAATAGTGTGGCATGGGGTATTATCCACTGAACCAAAGAATATGCCCTCTTTCTATACCTTTGTTTAGATATTGGTTTATTTTTTGCCATAATAACACTCAACAGAGCTGACCTGCAGCTATAACTTCACTGGTAAGAAAAGCATATTCAGAATCATAAAATAAAATTTAAACTTAAATATGCATCTTACCCTAAATAGAAATCAAAAACTATCCTGAGAACACTATTTAACCTACAGACTTCTACAGAGGTTATGTTCACTTATCTACAACCCAAGCAAATGAGTGTCCGCCTCCTCAATCCGTTGATAACAGTAGTTAATGATAAAGATAGTTAAATACAATATTCCAATATTTTTTGCCATGTTTATCTATTTTCTTCTACTTCTCAATATGGCCTCTTCCAACATTTTTGGCTGTCCATATTTATTTGTTGGTGACTTTGGAATGTGGTACCATTTTCATTTCAGAAAAACCAGACATCATGATCTTAAAGAAAGAATTCAGTGTTCAGGTCTCTAAGTCCTATGACTTCTTTATTTTTATGACTCCTAATCTGTTTCTAATGCTCTTTGCTAAAACCTAGACCTTGTATTACCCAAATGATTACTAGAAATATTCACTTGAAAATTTCTTTGGCTCCTTAAAGTGAATAGGTCCAAAACTGAATTCATCATTCTCATCTCAAAAAAGTTTTTCCTTAAATTAATTTTTATCTTGGTAACAATTACTATTTCCAAGAAGTGCTACCTGATTTCATGTCTTCTGTCAACACTTACTTCTTACTGACGAAACTCTGGAATCTATGTGAGCGTTCTCATGAAAAGCATCTTTATCACTTAAGCAATCATAGTAACTTTCCCAATTCATAACTCCATCATTCTTGTTAGGAAAACTATAGGAATCTCCTAAGTAATTTCAAAGACTTTGGCTTCCTGTTGCTTCAGTCTAGTACCCAAACTGTAGACACTCTGATATTTTAACTTGCCCCTTGAATCACTTCTTCCTTTAGCCAAAATATCAAAGTGAAGTCCAAAAAAGGTAATATCAGTCATAAGAGACCCCTATGATTTGTAGAGTTGGAGTAATAAATAGCATTTCTCTGTTACTGAGGCAGTACACTTTAAAGAAAAATCAACATTATATCATAAGGCACAAAAGAAATCCTCCACGTAATAGACCTACCTTAGGTAATGGTTTGGCAGGTTTACAATGCAGCCCTCCTACAAACTCAAAGTTAGGTAAGTATGGACGAGGAAATTCAAAATCCCAGTATGTCCTAATTAGCCAAATTTCTGCTTTTCCCATAATCTCACATAATGTAGTGGGTCTTCCTGGAGAAAATGAAAAAAATTGTGTGGAGGTTATTAGTGTATATGCTTTTTGGGATACAATTTACACTAATTTACTGACAAGCTATTAAGAACAAAATAAATCTAAGTCTTCTAGATTATTTATCACATCTAGCTGTTAAAAGGAAGGGAAAATTAACATGCTAAGGAGGGAAAAAGAAAGAGAATGAATGAAGAAAGGAAGAGAGGGAGGGAGGGAGGGAAGTAAAAAAAGAAAGAAAAAAAGGAAGAGAGAGAGGGAAGAATAGAGGGAAGGAGGGAGAGAGGGAGGGAGGGAAGAAAAAGGAAGAGAAGAAGGATGAAAAGTGACAAAGAGGAAGGTTGAGAGGATTTTTGGGTAGAGAAAGTAATGTGCAAGTGTAGTTTGACAAGAACAAATTCAATAAAATTTTAACCAGAACTCCATTTACTGATGAACTTAATACTCATTGTTTCTCTCCAATTAAATGACAGATAATAGGTTAGCCCCACTGTATCAACATCAAATTCCCTCTCAATGGTTTCTAACTTCTAATTAGGAATGTATCTCCACCTTCTGGCTTGTTATAGTCTCTGGTTCACTCATAATGTTAAAGAACCCCACCAGCATTTGTTTGCTTCATCTTCCTGAATCAAGTCCCATCCCTTTCTACCACAATTGATTTGCCACTAGTTTCTTAGTTGAAATTCCCTGAATAATTCATACCCAATACAACCCCCTTTGGAATGTGAAATATACATATACATACCATCAATGTCATAGTTATTTCAGTGTTACCTTTAAATGATGATTTTTGAAAGGGAGATTCTAAGTATTAACTTTAGAAGATTTACAGAGGGGAAGAATGAATATTTGCAAGTGACCAAGTCAACAATATTTGGACACAGAAAACATGTTTTGCATCTAAATAAATAAAAACTCATATAAGAATTCTCCTTTCTTAAAGATTACAACCAAAATTGGTGATCATATACAACTCAGACTGGATAGCTTCTTTTTAGAGTCATTGCTTTGTAGTGTTTGAATTTACATCTGAGGTTATAAATGCAAATGTCTTAATTTGATGATGAGGAAGAATTTCTCAAGGACACTCAAGTTGAAATTGCCAGAGACTGGATAAAAACACCACTTCACAGCTTCTACATCAATATATTTAAGTACTTTAGAGGTTTGTCCCATGTGTGTGATGTCCTTTCTTGATTACCAATGCCTTAGATGAAATTATTGTATATAACTTATAGACCACATTTTGAGAAATACTTAAAGTATTTACTAAAATTCTATATTTGAAGCAGTGATGCATGGTTACAAATATAAGGTCAATGAAAAGTAAAAAGAATAAAATTTAACAAAAGTATACAAATATTGGCAAATAATTTCATAAGACAATTTAAATGTTATATTGAGGGATTATAAAACAAAATATAGAATTAAATTTTACCACTAAGCTTTTCCTATAATTAAATGATTCACACAAGCCATATTATGAATACAGTGGAGAATTATATAAATGAGGTATTAAATTTGAGTTACCATGTAAATATTATTAATGTTTTAATATAGTGTTATAAACCTACATGATGAGTCTACTAAGGTGATTTTTAATTTCAAAGAGTTCTTAGAGGTAACCTGACTTTATAGCAAAATGCTTTACAGTAAGCCAGATAGATAGGAGTGAATTTCAGTAGAGGACATTTACCAGTTTCTCAGAGATAAGTCATGTTAGCTGGGTAAATATCTAGAGAAAACCTTTCAAGGCTAAAGTTATTAATTTCTTTTTGAAGATGTGTGAGGAAACTAACATGTATAATTTCTGGATCATTGTTTAAAAATTAATACTTTACTTTTTCAGAACAGTTTTTGGATCAGAGTAAAATTAAAGGAAAGGTGGAGATGTTTCATATCTCCTTGTCTTCACACATGCATACTCTCCATTATTAAAATCCCCAAACATAGTGATTCATTTGTTATAATTAATGAACTTACACTGGCACATTGTATCATCTGAAGTCCATAGTTTACATTATAGTTAACTCCTGGTGTTGTTAATTTTATGAGTTTGTACAAATGTATAATATATAATGATATTTTCACTGCCCTAGAAGTCCTCTCTGTTCTGCCTATTCATTTTTCTTCCCACCCTACTCCTGAAAATCATTAATTTTTTTTGTTGTCTTCATAGTTTTGCCTTTTCCAGAATGTCATATAGTTGGATTTATATAGTAGTAGTCTTTTCAGATGGCATTCTTTCACTTAGTAATATGCATTTAAGGTTTTTCAATGTCTTTTTATGGTGTGATAGCTCATTTATTCTCAGCATCAAGTGATGTTTCATTGTGTAGATCTACCAGTTTATCCCTTCACCTACCAAAAGACATCTTGATTTGCTTCCAAGTTTGGGCAAATATGAGTAAAACTGCTATAAATATCCATGTGCTCATTTTTCTGTGGACATAAGTTTTCAGCTCATTTGGGTAAATACCAACAACTATGATAGTATGGTAAGAGTATGCTTAGTTTTGTAAGAAACCAACAAAGTGTCTTCCAAAGTGGCTGTACCATTTTGCATTCTCATTAGCAGTAAATGAGTTCTTTTTCCACAACTTGCTAGCATTTAGTATTTGTCACTATTCTGCATTTTGGCCATTCTAACAGATGTGTAGTGTTACTCATTATTTTAATTTACATTTCCCTCATGACACATGATATAGAGCATCTTTTTGTATGCTTGATTGCCAACTATATATTTTCCTTGATGAGATGCCTGGCTTTGCCCCATTTTTGATGGTGATATATGTTTTCTTACAGAGTTTTAAGATCATACACACACACACACACACACACACACACACACACACATACACATCAGAGGGAGAGAGAAAGAGAGAGAGAAAGAAAATCTTAAGCAGGTTCTATGCCCAGTGTGGAGCCTGACACAGGACTCAGTCTTACAACCCTGAGATTATGACTTGAGCTGAAGTCACTTGAGCTGAAGCAACCAAGAGTTGGTTGCTTAACTGACTGAGCCACTCAGGCACCCTTAAAAATATTTTAGATAACAGTCTTTTATCAGATGCACCTTTTGCAAATATGTTCTGTCAATCAATGTCTTATCTTTAAATTTTCTTAACATTGTCCTTTATACAGTGGAAGTTTTTAATTTTAGTGAAGTCCAGCCATATTCATTATTTCTATTGTGTGCCTTTGGTGTTGTGTATAAAAAAATCATTATTATACCCAAGATCATCTAGAGTTTTCCCTAGGTTATCTTCTAGGAGTTTTATAGTTTTGCATTTTACCTTTAGATCTATGATTCATTTTTAGTTAAATTTTGTGAAAGGTGCAAAGTCTGTACCTACATTCTTTTTTTGCATGTGAATGTCCAGTTGTTCCACCATCATTTCTTGAAAAGACTATCCATTGTACTACTTTTGTTTCTTTGTCAATAATCAATTGACTACTTTGTTTGGGTCTATTTTTGACCTCTGTATTATTTCCTTTTCTTGTCTTATTCCCTTAGCTAGAACATTCAGTATTATGTTGACAAGGTGTAGAGAGAGATGACATCTTGCCTTTATCTAATCTTGGAAGAAAAGCTTTCCATGCCCCATTATTAAAGATGATTTTAGCTGTAGGTTTTTTGTTTCGTTCTGTTGTGTATTTCTAGCTATAGGTTTTTGTTTTGTTTTGTTTTGTTTTTCTTGTTGTGGATATAATTTATCAAGTTGAAGAAGGTCCTTTCTATGCCTAATTTACTGAAAGTTTTAAACATGAGTGGTTTTTGGATTTTGTCAAATAATGTCAAATTTATTCATCAGCAACATTCTGAAACATTAGTTAAAGCTCAGGACAGCTATGACCTCTCAATTCTGTGTTTAGGATTTACTGCTGGCAGAGGCAAACAGGGGTTTTCTTGCAGTTTTAGGTTGGTTAATAGACCATCGGCCTCCTTCCACTGGCATCAAGGTATTTACATAAAAATGACCCATCTGAGGGGGAATCTAAGCAGTAAAGTCAAGTAAAAATGAAGATTACTGAATGTTGAACCAGTCTCGTATACCCAGGATAAATCCTACTTGATGGTGGTATATAATTTTTTATACACATTGTTGGATTCAATTTGTTAACATTTTGTTAAGGATTTTTAGATTTATGCTTATGAGAAATATTGGTCTATACTTTTCTTTTATTGTAATGTATTCATCTGGTTTTGATATTTGAGTAATGTTGGCCCCATAGAATGAGTTAAGAAGTATTCTTTCTGCTTCTATCTTCTAAAAATGATTGTAGAAAATTAGTATAATTTGTTATTAAATATTTGGTAGAGTTCACCAACAAACATAACTGAGCCCAATGCTTTCTGTTTTGAAAGGGTAATTATTAATTCAGTTTAGTAGATATAAGCCTTTATAGATTGTCTACTTCTTGTATGAGATTTGGCAGATTATGTATTTTAAGGAATTAAATTTTTCAAGGAATTTGTATTTGCATTGATTTGTAATACATATTCAAGTGTTAGTTACAGGTCAGTAAGATAAGCAGACCTAAAGAAAATGGAATTGCTATTCACCTCAGAAAAGGTCTGAGGATAAAGGCTAAATGATTCATCAGTTTTAGAGAACATTATGGCAAGGATATAAGTGCAAAAAATTTAGGACAACATGTTTTGTAATACCAAAGTTGGAACAACCCAAGTAGCTCTAATGACTAGACCAGTTCAAAGATTTGTTACATCCATTAAAATGAATACTACTATATGAATGTAAAGAACAATGTAAATTTCAAAGTATTTTATAGACAGATGTAAAATCTAGATTTGGTGAAAAGAAAGGCAAAAATGAATATTTAGGGGGAAGAGGCAAAATGGCAGAGAAGTAGCAGACTGAAATGACATCAGGTCACAGGAGTTCAGCTAGATAGATATCAAATCACTCTGAACACCTACAAACTTAACAGGATATCAAAGAGAAGAAGAGCAGCAATTCTAGGAACAGAAAATTGA